CTGCTGGGTCACTGTCCCCAAACCTCATCTCAAAGAATATTTCAGACAATGCAAGGGGTCATGGTCACATATTTTCTTTTTCTGCTCTTTTTCCCCTCTTTCCCTTCTTCCCTCATCTTTTATCATGCACACTGTACATTTGCCCTCACCTTCATTATTTTTTAATGAGCAAAGCCCCATTGATTGAACGGTAATATGTGTCTATGTTTAAAACTTTGAATGGAGTATAATATATTACAAACTGAGAAGTAAATATGTTGATGACAGCGTATTGTTATCAATGTAGAAGCAGTGTGTTGTCTTAATGTTGCAAATAAATCTCAATTGGACCAAGATGTAATGCAAAGTAGTATTTTTTCTTTGCAAGCAGTTTCCTCAATTAATTATGCTGTCAAAACGAATATGTTTTGTCAAAAGAGTGCCACGGTCTTCACGTCAGCCCATTTATCAACGTATTTTACCTTTTTCTAATGGTTATTTTATTTTTTCACATTGTGAGAACTGAGAATAGAGAAAAAGACATACTATGGACAGGGGGCGTGTCAGTGCGATTACGCAACGTCTTTAAGCTTCACGGAACAATAAACAAAAAAAACGAATTATCCTTGTGTATGTTTTCTCCTTATTGCACAGTAATCCTGCTTTTATCGTCTATAGAGGTTGTTAAATGAGAACCGGTGAATCCAATTTTAACGACCATTGAACGGCATGTCCTGATTTGCGGTGGACGTAAACAAGCGGTGTCTGAAAAACACACGGTCGACGAGTCGAAAGAGAGCAACGCTAACGGTAAAAACACTCTGGATTAACACAAGGCTTTATATATTGTCACGAATATTGTGTACGAATGTTGCATCTTGTTTTTGGTGAGAGTAAACTCGAGTATTTTTGTTCTGCACGTTCCGCATGTCCTCCTTAAGTAACTGTGTTACTCTTCCATCATAAAGCCAGCGACTTCTGTGGGATGTTTTTGCGATAATGTCCTTCCAGAGGATCCGGCGACTGAGGGTTTTGAAGGTACATGTTCACGACTGTCACTCAAGTTGAAAGCTAATTCAATAAAAAAAAAGGAAATTCCAGGATTTGCTTACCGACGAATTAAAGGGGTCATATGATGTTGCTAAAAAGAACATTATTTTGTGTATTTGGTGTAATGAAATGTGTTTATGCGGTTTAAGGTTCAAAAACACATTATTTTCCACATACTGTACATTATTGTTTCTCCTCTATGCCCCGCCTTTCTGAAACGCGTCAATTACAAAGCTCATCGGTCTGAAGAGCGAGGTGTGCTCTGATTGGCCAGCTATCCAGTGCGTTGTGATTGGCCGAATACCTCAAGCGTGTGACGGAAATGTTACTCTCCTTACCATAACATTAAAACCCATTATAAACGAGGCATTTGTTGCATCCAGTGGGGACATAATTACGGATTATAATGATTTATACTCCTTCTTCCCTCATCTTTTATCATGCACACTGTACATTTGCCCTCACCTTCATTATTTTTTAATGAGCAAAGCCCCATTGATTGAACGGTAATATGTGTCTATGTTTAAAACTTTGAATGGAGTATAATATATTACAAACTGAGAAGTAAATATGTTGATGACAGCGTATTGTTATCAATGTAGAAGCAGTGCGAGTCTTGATGTTGCAAATAAAATTCAATTGGACCAAGATGTAATGCAAATTATTTTTTAGTTGCATACAGTTTATTATGCTGTCAAAACGAGTGTTTAGTTAAAAGAATGCCACGGTTTTCACGTCAGCTCGCATTTATCAAAGTATTTTACTTTCTTCTAATGGCTATTAAGCATGTTTCTCAGGAGGCGTGTCAGTACGATTACACGACGTCTTTAGGCTTCACGGAACAATTTGAAAAACAACTAAATTATCTTTGTGTATGTGTTTGTCCTTATTGTACAATAGTTTTGCTTTTATCGTCTATAGAGGCGTTGTTAAATGAGAGCCTTTGAATCCAATTTTAACGACCATTGAACGGCATGTCCTGCTTTGCGAAGGACAAGTAAACAAGCGGCGTCTGAAAAACACGGTCGACGAGTCAAAAGAGCAACACTGAGGGTAAAACACTAAATTACCACAAGACCATGTATATTGTCGCTAATATTGTGTACGAATGTTGCATCTCGACGAGCAATCGCGAGTGTTTTGTTCTGCGCGTTCACTGTCCTCTTAGGTAACTGTGTTTGCTCTTCCACCATAAAGCCATCGACTTTGGGATGTTCGCGACAATGTCCTTCCAGAGAGTTCGGCAGTTGAGGGTTTTGAAGGTACACTGTCACTCAAGTTAAAAGCTAATTCAATAAAACGTAGATTGTGAATACGCGCTGCAGGACTTCCTCGCCCAGTGCTTGTTTTAAAATCAGTGAAGGCACGAAGTATCAAACGGGTACTTTTCATAAACTATTGTCTAATAGAACATTAACCTAGCATGACAAATTACAGCATGAGCCGTCCCTTTCAGCTTACTGGTGTGTACTGGAATGGGGGAAAAAATGTAGAAAATATATTTTAATTATTAACAAGAATGTGTGTTTTGTGTGTGTAGCGTTACCTTGTTTCAAAAAACAAAACAAAAAATAGTGATACCCATGATTTTAATTGACAGCACAACAAGTAAATTAATAATAAGAAGCAAGTTATTTTTGTGACGTGTTTTTGTATTTTTGTAAGTTATTTTTGGATCGTTTAAAAAATCTGAAGTTCATCCTCTTATTATAAGAATATGTACATCTTTGTCCAACTCTTTACAAATGTATTGTTCAGATATCAACTAATGGAAACATGGATGGCAGGGTATTACAGAGATCTATGGTGCAAATTATATGACTTTGTGTTTCTTTAATTTAGTTCCTTTGGTTGGATAGTTGGATTCAAAGGAACGTCTCCATTGTCACAACTCTGCACCAAAGCAAACAATGTCAAGAAGCCTGTCAGATATACAAGAATAAGTAAGTAATCAGGATTTTTATTGCACTTATTTCACTTTTTGTTGTGTGGTGTCTTATTTTAGGAATATTGAGGCACTTATTGAGGCACTTCTTTGCGTCTATGATTCCATTAAAGGGGTGGTTCATTGCGATTTCACTTTTTTAACGTTAGTTAGTGTGTAATGTTGCTGTTTGAGCATAAACAATATCTGCCAAGTTACGAAGCTGAAAGTTCAATGCAAACGGAGATATCATCTTTTAAAATTCTGGCAGTTTAATGCCTACAAAAACGGCTGGTAGGGACTACAACGAGTTACTTCCCGGGTTCGTGACATCACAAACCCAGATAAACTCCGCCCTCGGGAAAAGGCAACAAAGGGGGTGAGGCCATGATGCGCTGCTTTAGAGAAGAGGAAGAGAAAACTAGAAGTGCACGTAAAAATCTATTCATATATGAATCGCGATTCTGTCTTCTAACGATTCTAATGGATTCACAAGTTTCAAAATCAATGTTCTAAAGCAGTGGTTCTTAATACTGTTCCTCGCGTCCCCCTGCTCTGCACTCGCTCTGCATCTCTCTCTCTCTCTCTCTCTCTCTCTCTCTCTCTCTCTCTCTCTCTCTCTCTCTCCCCGTCACTCCTGGTTTCACTTCCCGTTTATGCTATCACCTTCTCTTTGGATTCAGTTAGGTCGGTCCCTCCCCACATGCTT